CACCCATTGATCCCAGAGCGACCTATCTTGCGTCGCACGTATCGTCAATATTTTGCCTCCTTGCGGCTTGGATACATCTGCAGCTGCAGCTTCCAGGCTGCGAAAGATTGAGCGGGGCGAAAACGGCCGGATTCATCTCGAGCAGTATTTGGATGAACCAAACCCCCTTCTGAGACAATTTACGCTACCAATCGAAGCATCAGCAGCGCAAAAATGGGCGGTTATTTTTCTTCACAGCGCGAACACGGACCCAAGAGCGATACACGACATACGACTGAGACCGGACCGTTTTGTGTTGTTTGTGGTGGACCGTTTGATATTGAAGGTGAGGTTTACAATATTGATCCGAAAGACCCGCAGTTTCAAGTATGGTGTTCTTCTCCCTAAAATTGTGTTCTTCTTGGTCACCAACTAATCATATATCAAGTGGTTATATCATCTTCGTCTTATTGGCAATGTTGACGATGTATACCACCATGTGGTAGCTAGTGATGGACACGCGTGAGTACTCAAGCTCTCATGTTGTGCACTTCACTAAATTACTAGAAGACCCGTCAACACCTCTGACCAGCCTGAAGTCTTTGTCTCCGGGCCTGCTCGTTTCAGCCTTACTGGATCTGGTTTTTATCACGTTGCTGGATATGAAGGACAAAACGATATCTGGGTCGACGCCCTCTCGCACATTCCCGGCTCTGGCACCCTGTTCCCACTGCACGATTGCTGCTTGGATATAAGCTGTAGAGCTATAGAGTATCACCAGTCTAAACAGGAAGAGTGCGATAACAAAACAGCTCTTGAAGTGTTAATTCATTTACTCAACAGTCGCTTCACTGAACGGCAGATCCAAGACGGGTCACTTAGGTCAATAAATGATTTGTTCAATCTGTCTTCCGAATGTAGCGTCTACGGACCTAGGAGTGTACTAGCTCTGACGAAGTTAGAGTGGTGGGGAGGCGGTTACGACGTAAGTCTCCACAATCTTCATCTAGCCACAATCCTAACACTCCATAGCGTTTCTTCACCAATCCCATCGAGCAAGTCGATACCACTGCTTTTGTACAAAGAGTCCTACAGAGCTCGCCACGCACCAGAGGTGAACCTAAATTCACCGAAATACCAGCTCGCAAGCATCAGAACTTGGAGCGTCTTCCAAAAGAACTCCTAGACGAGGTTTGCAGCTACCTGCCAATCCCATCAACCATAGCACTTCACCGAACTTCGAAAATACTCGCGTTGCAGATCCCGCTTGACTCCACATTCTGGCGCAACAGTCTTGGTGATGGAAGCTTGCATCCACACATCTGGGACCTGGACACGAAGCGGATTGAGCAGCAGTTGCCGCAACCTGGCATAGCACCCCTGGATCCTACAGCTTCTTGGGACTGGAGGTGCGCAGCCAAGATCCTTGCAATGAAGCGCTTTCCTATCAGTGGGTGCGATGACCGCTTGGTCGATGTGCCCGCTGGCTTCTGGAATCGGTGTAGGATATGGGCTACTATCGAGGAAGCGCTACAGCAACACATCTTTGAGTGAGCGCCTCACTGAGTTCCGCCGACATTATTAATACTTCTAATATACCAGGAGATCTGCATCTCTACAACATTCTTTGTCTATATTATTAGGCGCATCTAGTCCGGTGTTCACACCTCTCGACTCCGCCATCCCACAACCACCTCCACGCTCCTTCCCCGTACATATACCCACACGCCCTCACGGCTCCGCCATAACTGCAACAAACTTATCCCAACTATCACCAAACTTCTCATAGAACTCCGAAGTCGCACTCGTCACAAACAGATATGCCGCCTTCTTCCGCAGCGCCCTCGTAAGCCCCTCGACCTGATCCTCTGGAACCGAATGCACCATGTACGCCGCGCGCTCGCGCCCATACGGCGACGTCGCAAGCCACTCCTGATACTCCTTGCTCGCAAAATGCGCATACGACGTCTCCACTACAACCGTAACATCCGGACCAGGCGCCGCTAGCCCTTTATTGACCGCCGTCCCCGGATTATGAATAACCTGCCTCTCCATCAGCACTTTTCGCTTTCATCAAATCCCGCCATCAAAACCCCCTCTTGTTTCAATCAAAAATAAGCAAAGAAAAGGAAAAATACATACCAGTCCCTCTCCTCCAAACGCATCCTCAGCCTTGACCCTCCCATCAATCCCATCAAGATACCTCTTCATCTCCTTTGAATACAAATTCACCGTCTCATCCACAAACACGCCTTCCACCTTCATCTTGGCATCTTCCCGTCCGCGCTCCGCATACGTACAGATATCGCTGCAGATATCGCCGTGCGCGCGCTGACAATACGTCGCACGCACATAACCCAGCGTCGTCACATTGGGCAGCGCGTTGAGCCGCGGGATTTCGCGTAGGTAGTCGGTGTTGGGCCACCAGGGCGCGGTGCCGGGCCCGCTGTTTGGGTTGAGGATTATCAGGAAGTGGAGGTGCGGGTGTGCGGATAGACTGTTTTCTAAACTATCAGCGTGCCGACATTATTGAGTACTGTGGAGTAGTAGTAGTAATAATATAGCTATTGGAAGTAAACAAGGAGCGGGAATAAGGAGAAAGGATGAAGGGTTAATTTACGCGGTATACAGCGGATCCCACGCCCCAGGGTTCGGATAGATGTACAACGGAAGTAAAACTTTCGACTGCATATTCTGCGCCTTGCTCTTCTTTCTCCTGGACAGGAATGTTAGATTCATGATGTTAGTCCGCTGAGAAAGAAACACAACAACGGGTTTTCTTTGGGGGGATTGCAATTATTGAATTGTTGTCTTCTTGTTTTTTTTTTCTTTTCTTGTCTTGTTTTACTTTTTGTTAAATAAAAAGGACTCAAATTATGTGCTTACTAAGATGGAGGCACCTACGTGTTGCGAGTACGAGCCGCAGCGTGGCCCTTCGTTTTCCGCTGCTATTTTGGGCGGGGGGAGTGGAGAGTGGGGAGTGGGTTTTGAAAGTATGTTAGGAGAATGGGCAATTAGCTTGGCCTCTTAGCATGCGGCGATGGAGAACGTGCGGATTGGGGCGGTGGGGGGATGACGGGTACGAATTGGGAAGTTTAGTTGCGTGAGAAGTGGGACTGATTACGATATGGTATTGTGGTGATCATCTAGTGCTGAGCATGAGGCTAGTCTACTCTGTTTCTGTTGGGAGATGGGATGTTGCGGCAGAATCAGCCTTGTGTGCCTAGCTGAATGTAGTGTTAGATTTGCTTTACACTAACTACCCCAGTCTCCGAGGGTACCGAAGATCACAGACATATGGTCACCGTGAATGGTAGTATTCTACGAGATTCGGTCTCGGGTACATACTATCTACAATCTATAGTAGACAACAACATATTAGTTAAAAATCTAATCGTGCGCCTTATCCAGTAAGCTCTTCAATATCGTTGCTGTGCTCTTCATGCCCTGCAGCGCATTTTCATCGGGTCCTTGCCCAGGCGTCCATGAGGCGTGCGCAAAGTCAATCATCTTGACTTCTGCGAGCTTGGGCAGATTCTCATCCTCCTCGTCTTCGTCTTCTGGGTGCGCGGAGCGTAGCTTCTGCTTCGTGTTGCCGTACTCTTCCACATCACCCTCGTATACGAGGAGTATACTTGCGCTGTACATCCTGCTCTCTTTGCTCTCAAATACCTCTTGGATATCCTTGACCTCGCCGAGGAAGTACGCCAGCACTTCTCTGGCGCGATCGAGCTCTGCTTCTGACTTGGCGCCGGGGTAAATGAACGACACAAAGCCCTCGTCCACATTCTCGGCGTTGAACTTGCGCCCGTACATCTTATTGTACACCCAGTATCCGTTGTCCTTGTCAACCTCGACATACTCCTTCAATTCGTCAGGAACGTCTGGGACATCGGTGCCCTTGTAGGTGCGCATACCCGCTATCCTGAATCCGAGACTACCGCTTGTAGTTTCTTTGCTCACAGCATCGAGGCGATCTCGCTTCTCTTGCTTCGAATTATCATCCCATAACCTTGCGCCGAGCTTCAGGTCCAAGACATTTGGCTTCTTGAATCCATTTGTAATGTTCTCCAGCACGATATGTAGATCTGTGTCAAGGTGCTTGCCATGTAGGCGCTCGATGGATCCGTCGGCAGTCTTTATGGTGCCGCTCTCGACGCTATCTACGGCGGCAGCCTGATCGGTGGAGAGGGAGAGCTGACCCATAAAGGTGGGCAGATGGCGCGCAAGATCGGGATGGTCGGAGAGTGTCTCATAGAAGGTAATCTCGGAAAGAGTGCACGGCTTTACGACCACGGCACCGGATTCGTCGCTTAGTACGCCTTCGCTGGAGGTTGCGATTTAGTATGGCAGGCAAGGAACGGCTGAACAGCAGGCAGCCGCCTTGGGGTCACACGTACTGGCCCGCAGCGGCACTGTCGTACGCTTTTAGCTTGGACGCGTCATATTTCTTGGTCGCCATGATGCTAGGTAGGTGTAGAGTTCTTGGTATCAAGATCTTAGGCTCGGCAGGTTGAGGTTGGGACGGGAGTGCAAGATGCGCAAAGCTGTTGTGGGGTGATACTGGACCCCACTGTCAGGTGGGTTACAGGCAACGGGCGAGTCGGGACATGGCTGTCTGGAGGACTGCATGACTCGTAGTGCAACACCATGAAGTCATCATCATTGGTAGCTGGTGCTGCCGCATCTACTGAGCAAACTTACGTGCCTCGCAGTCAACAGTTGTTAGAGGAAACACATCGCTATGGTGTTCTAAGCAGATGACTATATTTTTGCATCATGTGATGAATGTGAGGGTGAAAGGGCAATCATTCCGTAAGCGATATGATTGCGCGCCTGCCGTTCTTGCGCCAGTGCTCTCACTTACTGTAGTTTGCAAACGCAATAGTTTCACCATTGTTGCCTGTGATAATGTCTCTACTTCTCTCACTAATATTAAAGGGTTTCGTCATTTGCCATCTCCTCCTACCCCTCGAATACTCTCTCCGTCTCAGTCACTGGCGATTATATTGACCGTACAAATGGCAACAACAGGGACTCCACTCATGGAAGATACTGGGTCTTCCAATGGAACTTCTCAAAGTGCAGCCTCAGACAAAACCGCCAATGACACCATCCAAGATCATCCTGATGGTGATGATATCCGTCGTCAAGTATGCTTTCCCGCTCCTGCCCCCGATGAGACCCATGACATACTGACCGTCTTCAAGGTCGAGTACTACTTCTCTGATGAGAACCTTCCCACAGACAAGCATTTATTACAGTTCTGCGGCGGGCGTGAGAACCTTCCTGTGTCCGTCAATCGCATCTGCGGGTTTTCGAGGATGCGACAATACAAACCTAAAAGCCTCGTCATTGCAGCACTTCGTCTAAGTGCCTTCCTCGAAGTATCTGCTGATGGCAAAACGATCAAGCGCAAAATCCCTTTACGGGGAAAATGCCTTCTCGATCCAGACTTCTTCGACGATGAAGACATCGCCTACGACCCACGCGTTCAGAAACCAACTCCGCGTCCCGTGCAGTTCCTGCAAGTGAAGAAAGATGCACGCATGGAAGGGGTATCGAAGAACATGCGAAAGCCAACAGGGTTCGAAAGAACCTACATGGAGCCAGTCCTCACTCCCGAGGAGTCCGCACAAGAAGACGATATGTATGCTTCCGACAAGCACTTTGTTGAGCGTATCGAGATCGCCATCCAGCGCTTCAAGAACAAGCGGCGCATGCGCGAGATTTATGCACACGTCTTTGATAAGTTTATGCGCTTTGGTGGTGTAGATGCCGGCCCGCGCATGTACCAAGGTCTGTCGAAGCAGGAAATGAATGAAATGGACGCCGAAGACCTCGCTAGAGCACTTGCCACTCATCACGTACCATGGGACCGCTCTAAGGAGACTGATTGGGTGGTTGATTTTTCCGGCGTCTGCAAAGGGTTCCTGTGAGTCTACTTTGTCAAACGCATATAGAAGAATGCTAAAGACAACAGTTCATCGTGGTATCCTGCTCACTATGGCTACGCTCCTCATCTGATCAAAAATGCCTGTCAAGTCCTTCGTTCCTTCTTCAGGTATCTTCGATATCACAGAGTCTGTCCTGAGTATGACGATCAACTCGCTGCTGCACTCGACATTTGTGACGCTGCTGAGGAGCAGCTCCCCAAAGCAAATGCTGCAGGGCTTGCCATGACAGGAGACTTTAACAAGTCTGCCAGCGTCATCTTTGGAGGCTCTCAAGCTTGCCTTTACATTGGTAACAAGAGTTGGGCAGAGGAGTTAAGAGAGGAGGGTGTGAACAACGAAGAGATTGGTATTTCTGAGGAAGAGGCCAAGGCCAAGTTTGGCATTGGGATTGCCATCTTGGGCTCGGAAGCGCAATTCGGGCTGTACGAGTCGTCCAAGTTGGAGGTCCTCAGTAAGAAGTCGGCCTACCTCGAAGTAGTCACCATCCACCCACCCGACTGTGACACCAAAGCAGCCTACGACGCGCAGAGCACGTTCTACAAGCGCAAACTGGAACTTCAACCGCTTGGCAAACTTATCTGCAGGACCTGGTACCCTGCCGGATGTGATGAGTATGACCTACCGAAGGACAAGTACCCTAACGGCAAGCCTTGGACAACGGGCGACAGCCAAGAGTACGAATTTTGGATTGAAGGGGATATTCTTAGGGATTGCTTCATCGGCATGAAGATGGACGCTGACATTTTGGTGCTATCGGGTGGCCTGAGTATTCTGGACAATGTCAAGGAAACCATGTGCAGCTTCTACGTGTGGCTGCCGAATGAATTGTGGATGGAGCGAAAGCCGGAGGTACGGTGGCTGAAGAAGAGCATGGGTCCTGACGAAAACGACCAAGACGATGACAACGACGGTAAAGAAGCGAAGCAAGGTGCAGACAAAGAAGCTTGGGATGATGAGTTTGATGATGAGTGAGGTTGAATTGGAGGGTGCGCTATAGAGTTCCGCCACAGTGGGTGGTGAAACATTAAGTTTTTGAGGAGCCGTCGTGGGTCCAATGTCACTTCTTGACTATACACCTAGATGCACCCCACCTTGTGCCTGATTTGTACTACTTATACTGGATGCGATGGCTGGTATGGACACTGCACAGGTGGCTGATCAACTTTTGGCCATATTCTGAGTAATGCAGACAGTGAAGATGGATCAAACAGGTCAGCAAGACCCTGGTTGTTGGGCGTTTTGGCATCGCACATCTCAAGTGTCCGAAAAGGCGCAGTAAGTGTCATCAGCACCAAGGACGGTCTGTTGACTTGATGTCACAAGGATGCACCTTTGGGTCGGGGTTTGAGAGCATTACTTTGGGTTGTAGGGCTGCGCCACGCTTGTGCGCCTCAGTTTCATGCTTGGTTGCTGTGGACATGTACATGGTGCTTCCAACAGCGGAGGGAGGGGACTGCGACACGAAAGCCCACGACTGAAACCGGCAAGTCGCGCACGGTATCACGCGTCCTGGACGCCTCTAGCCAAGACTTCCGTCCGATGCGTCAACGGTGGGCCAAGATGGGCGGGCGCACAAGAAAGCCGCGCAAAAGACAGCCTATGGCGCGGCGGACAAAGGCACTGTATCGGCCGCCACGTATGCAAATGACCGCTGAGAGCAGTCCAAGGCGGATGGAAGCACTTGGCAGTTAGCAATGCCATGTCCTGGTCACCGTTTGCCAAGCGGGCGTTGTGTCTCCAAGCACCAAAGCGCGACATGTGTTTGGTTGCCCGCCGGCCCAGCGACGTGTCTCGGTATTACGCTTACTTACCTTGGGAGCCCCCCTTCTGCCCTCGTTTTGTGCCATTTGCTAGCTCCCATTCCTTGTGAGGAGAATGAAAAAAAAGAAAGGAAAAAAATGAGGCCAGTCAGCACTTGGCCATGTATAGGATGGAGGGAGCATAGCCATTTACCCGCGACAAGGCAACGTATGTCATTGCCCTCAACTCTAACCCCTTAGCTTTCCCGGGTGGATGGGATTGAGTTCAGACGACGAAAATCCCATGGCGCGGGTCCAAGATTAGACGAGGTAGGACCCAAGCAAAAGACGTCAGATCCGAGTTATCCGTCTGCGCCCACCTGCGCCCGTCTCGCATCAAGGACGCGCACAAGGCTGTCCCGGTCACGGCAGCGTGACAAACGACGAGCGGAGGGAAGCTTGGGCTCAAGGCCTGCCAAGTGCTTGAGTGCTCTTAGCAAGCGGAGAACGCGTGCACTGGTAAAACCTAAGGGCAGCCCACACTACCGCGCTGGCTCCCCGACTCTGTATTCTTTTGGGGTTCTTCATTCAAATCTCCGCAAACGGCGTCTTTTTCCATTCCGCTGTTCCCTCGTTCTTATTAAATATAGTATGCCGGCCCTTTTGACTGGCTGCCGACCACATATACTGTCCTAGCCGCTAAATAACCACCCTGCTGCTGGCCGAACTTCTCCACATAGCCCAGTTCAGTTTCCCTTTTACGCGACAAACCCAGACCTTCCTCCCCCGAAGCCAGGCGTCAAATGCTTCTTGCATGCTGCCTGTGCGAGCGACCAATCCAGGCACAAACTCCGATCCCGTAAGGTTGGGCCGGAGAAAAAAAAACTGTACAAAACTACCTTTGTTCTTTCTCCAGCGAGCGCGCGCGTGTGTGTGGCTTGCGAAATAGGGCGCGCGGTGGAGACGCAGAAGCGGGAGATTTGGTGCTAGGATGATGGCCGCCTTGCTAGATGCGCGGGCAACCGAGTTTCCCAAACGGGATCAATTTGGTACGTTACCACATGCTTCTACTACTCAAAAAACGCCACACATCAGACCATTTTCCTACATCGCACTATACAATATTACACTACAGTTTAACATTATACCCCCGCTTGATATACTCCGTGCTACTACTTTTTTCTTTTTTCTTTATGCTGGAAACGCGACAACCTAGTTAACATGACTAGCAGGGCATAGGATCATAAACCCATACATCTACGACCCGTCATGCGTGCTTGCTATTGTCGGCACAACCATCATCGTCCTGCTGTCCATCTACTCAGTAACCCAGTACCTGCGGCACCGATCATGGTTCTTCTGGGCCGCCATCATCGGCATCCTGATGCTAGATCTCGGCTTCATCTGCCGCACCGTGTCATCGTACGATGAGGGCAAAGAGTCTCCCTTCCTCGTCTCGTGGCTTATGATTCTGCTGGCTCCCAGCTTCCTCGCCGCAGCGTGCTACATGTCCTTCGGCCGCGTCATCTGGTTCAGCTGTCCAACCGAAGCGCTCAACTTCAAGACGCTGTGGTGCTGGCCCGAATGGATCACCCCGACCTTCGTCGCCTTCGACATGTTTTCCTTCCTCATCCAACTCATCGGTGCATCCCAAATAAGCAGGCACTACGACAAAGCCCCCAACGGCGACCGCACCATCAGCATATCCGAGCAAGCCGCGCTCCCCGGCCGCATCATCCTCATCCTCGGCCTCGTACTCCAAATGCTCTGCTTCGCCACCTTCTCCGTCGTCTCCATCCGCTACTTCTACATGTCGCGAAAATGGGCAGCCTACGACCTCGGCGACATGCATCTCTGGCGCAAACTCTCCTACACCATCAATCTCTCCTCCGTCCTCATCGCCCTGCGCGCCGTATACCGCACCATGGAGATCCCCCACGACCGCAACTACGGCCTGCGCTACCTGCAGAGCCACGAGTGGTGCTTTTGGGCTTTTGATGCCACACCCATCGTCCTGGTCTTGCTCATCTTTGCTATATGGCACCCTGGGCGCTATCTCCCCCGCTCCTACACGGGGCTTAGGCTCGACAAGGTCAGGGCTGTCAAAGAGAAGGATGAGATTTCAATGTACAGTGCGAGTATGTGTGGGCAGGATACTGAACTCAAAGAGTATAAGCCTGAGGACTTTCGCCATGTTAGTGTTTCGGCGAAAGCTTAGAAGCGGTCGTTTTTGCTTTTGTTTTTTGTTTTTTTTTTCGGAAAATTTAAAGTGTACAATGACGACAAGGCAAATAGGGCGTTTAAATTTTGTGATACCAAACGCGTTACGCGAAATGGGCGTTTTATTTTTTTTGTTTATTTCTTAATCTTGTGTGTCTGTGTTTTTTTCTCTCGAGAGAGTAACATTTGCGATGATACCATAGTTGAATGTTTTTTATTCATGCTTTCTTCCAATTGGCTTTGCTTGCCTCGGTATGATATTGAACTCTCTGGCTTCTCGGTCCCTGTGATCCTCGTCACTGTTACTGTTTTTCAGGTCGGCTTCGGAGCGCTGTCTATCCGTCCAGGCGGGCAAAGCCTCACCTCGAGCATCTTCCTTGTAGTCGTATCTACCTCGAATTGACTGGGCTAGCGCCGGCATCGCATGTTCGACTAGGTTCGCATAACCTTCTCTATATGTCTAAAAGACGTATTTGGAAGGTCGCATATCGGTATCTTTCTCGATCCTGCTCGTGTCTAACCTTCATATATCCGGCTGATAGTGGATCCTGAATTTCTTGTTGGCGCGGTCGGCCGCTCGTGTTTGAAATTGTTCGGCGTTGATGTCAAAAGTCAGTGGCTTCTTCGGCGGCTCTCCTTCATTAGATAGGAGTGGCACTTCAAACCGGAAGATGGTGTGCTCCTTGGGTACAGCTGGAATCGTCAGATTACTTACCCCACTTACCTATTTGGCGCCTACAGACTTACATTTGATAATGTTGTTCTTGGTTATGAGATCAAAGGTGAATCGAGTGTCACGTACGACTATGCCTTCTAACCCGACACGACTCACGCAACGGCTCCTCACCACGGTCATCAGCGCGCCGTGCATATCGGCAGTCGCTAGTATCTGGCCGCTTGCGTTTGGAGTGATCACGACACCCTTTGACACATCATTCACGCCCAGCACTTCTCTCATGTAGCCTACCCAGAGATTATGTAGTCCCTCGTAGATGGCATACTTTTGCTGCTCCCTTGAAATTTCATTGAGGCCCAGCGCACGCTTTTTTGCGGCAGAGAGTGGACGAGGCTTGTTTTTGCTGCGCTTCCTAGCGGCTTCTTTACGTTCGTTCAGAGCTTGACGGCGAACAGCGCGAGCTGATGGTGTCGGAGATGTTGCGCGAACATACAGAGGGCGCTGGACAGCGCGTTCCTGGTAATGCGATTCCGCAGTCGATGGAGAAAAGGCGCGATGAAGTAGGGTTTGAGCAATGTGCGGGTTGGAATTAGCCATTTGCGCACGAAATGTTGCAAGCAGGCGTGTGTTTTCGCTGGCTTGTTGCGAAAGTTGAAACAGCTTCGCTGATCAATAGGCGGGTTGATTTGCAGTGATGCGCGGCAGGGCCTTTCCAGAATATGAACCAGAGTAATTTCAAGATATCGTATACCGTGGAAAACGCAAGCTACACAGCGGGGTCAGACACTTGATTGCGGGACAAGTTTAGCGATGCTCAAGATGATGATGAGGTTCGCAGAGGAAAGACGGCCGCACTAGTACGAAAGCGTGCTAGGTCTATGGCTCGGCTATCGTTTTTCCGCCCTCACACATTCTCGGCCTTCACACACGTCAAAATCGACCTCAGCTTCGACAACACCGCTAACCCGCAGCAACCGTCAAGATGAAGTACATGTACGTCTACCCCTGGATTCCGACGCATAAATCGCTGCAACACACGGTTTTTCCCACCTCCGAACCGTTCATAGACGCCTCCATACCGAATTCCAAGATCGCAAAACACCAAATCCCTGGAACTTATGCTGACAAGTGCGCAACAGCCACTCCGAGGAAGAGCTCCCCATCCCCGAGGGCGTCAAGGTCAGCATCAAGAACCGAAATGTCGTTGTTGAGGGTGAGTGCGCAATTGGGCACTGAATTACCAGCATTGTACTAATTACATTGAATAGGTCCCCGAGTAAGCCAAGCGCAACTACACATCCTCGACGATCCGTTTCTTACACAATGCAGGGCAAGCTGAGCAAGTCTCTCGGTCACTTGGCGGTCAGCTTCACACACGTACGTTTGAGATTGAGGAATTAATACCAATGGAATGTACTAAGTCTTGCACAGCCCAAGAAGGATCTGATTAAGATCGAGCTCCACCACGGCATCCGCAAGAGCGTCGCCACTCTCCGCACCGTCCGCACACTCATCGTACGTCAAACGCACCGAACCAGTCGAAACACCGACAGAAGAAGGACTGGGCTGACTGGGAGCAGAACAACTTGATCATCGGTGTCACCAAGGGTTACAAGTACAAGATGCGATACGTATATGCCCAGTATGTTACCACCGGAATCTCTTCTTCGCCATCTCGAAAACAACGTTTGTTCCAATGCGGGTTGCCAAGAACTTCGTCAGAACCGGTCGAAGCAGGATGATTGTTACTGGTATATTCGAAGTGCTGGGCAACGCAAATTGGATCAGGCTCACGGCGAATGTTGCACACATCGAACTTGGCTAATGTCTCACTCAGTTTTCCCATCAACGTCAACCTCGAGAAGAACAGCGAGTCTGGCTGCTGGGAGGTCGAGATCAGGAACTTCATCGGCGAGAAGCTCGTACGAAGGGTTGTCCTGAGGCCCGGTGTTGATGTTGAGGCTTCCAAGAACGTCAAGGACCAGCTTGAGCTTTCCGGAAACGTAAGAACAAGATGCTCCAAATCCAAATCCAATATGCTAACAAGAATAGTCACTCGAGGACGTCTCCCAGGGTGCCGCTGATATCCAACAAATCTGCAAGGTCCGCAACAAGGATATCCGAAAGTTCTTGGATGGTCTGTACGTGTCGGAGCGCGGCAACATTGTCGAGGACGCGTAAAAGGTTCTGGGGAGTACGGGTTTCTTTACGGGCACATGAGCATCTATGAACTTCTCTGCATCACATCACGTGCGGTTGGCGCCTGGGGGTCTAAGCTCAAAAACGATGTTCAAACAATACCACCAATGACTTGATGGAAGAAGCATGCATTCACGATTTTGGTGATATGATGGGAAGTCAGCAATTTCCGTGTTTGTACAAGGGTCGGTGCTCGGGACTTACTTCTTTAGTACAGGACGATTGTGGTTGACGGCGAGAGCTTTTGTTAACATACAGAGCCAATGAAAGAACGCTTCCCATGTCCACCAAGTTCGCCTGATCTGTTGTGCATTGTATGTCTAAGATTGCACAATCATCTTGATGGCACAAACTAAATAGGAAGGACAGTTGGGTATGCATGTGCATGTCTGATCCCGTTGAGATAGCAGTTTGGATGTCCGCGGATGTGATCTGCCACTCATGACGTACATGTGCTGTAGCACTATGGTAGATGGTGCCAACACCCCGCACTCTTACTATTCGTAATACTGCAACAGTACAGCCACCGGCACAATGATGAGACTATCACCGCAAACTCCGAGGATTGACAGCTCATCAGCCGCAGGATAAGTAAGCATATGGTGAAGGGTGGAAGGGCAAAAGGGCGAATAAATTAGAGGCATTCCCTGCATATATGCGCGGGGACTGAGAAGTGCATTGGAATTTGAATATTCATCCTACCCATCAAAGCTTGAAATAACCTCACCAACCCCTGTAATAATTGAAAGGCTCAAACCGCTTGACCAATATGCCAGACAAGCTAGATGTGGAGGGTCTCCTCAAGGAGTCCAAGGCGGAGTACAGGCGTCTCGGGAAAAGTGGACTCAAGGTGTCGGTGCCTATTCTAGGTGCTATGAGCATTGGAAGCTCGAAATGGCAACCTTGGGTGATTGAAGAAGCAGAGGCGCTTCCATTACTGAAGGCTGCTTACGATCGAGGTCTCACCACTTGGGATACTGGTGAGGACAAGAAATGATGGGAAGTCTTGTAATGCTTGCTAATGTTGTCGAAGCCAATGTCTACTCCAACGGAGTTTCCGAGGAAATCATCGGCAAGGCCATCAAGAAGTACGAACTTCCTCGTGAGAAACTTGTCATTCTCACAAAGTGCTTTGGGGTTGTAGGCGAAGACCCTGGCCTTCGCACCATTCAATACCCCAAGGAGATGCCACAGCTGAAAGACTACGTCAACCAAAGTGGACTTTCGCGTCAAGCAATTTTCAACGCCGTCAATGCTTCACTCAGGCGGCTTGATGTGGACTACATCGACCTTTTGCAAATCCATCGTTTTGATCCCAACACGCCCCTCGAGGAGACTATGGAAGCACTTCACGACTTGGTAAAGAGTGGGAAAGTGCGGTATATTGGTGCCAGCTCGATGTGGGCGGTACAGTTTACTCAGCTGCAGTTTGTGGCTGAAAAGAACGGATGGACAAAGTTCATCAGCATGCAAAACCACTACAACCTGCTCTACCGCGAAGAAGAGCGTGAGATGAACCGCTTCTGCAACGACACGGGAGTTGGTCTTATTCCGGTACGCACTGCCCTTTGCTACATGGTTGTCAGACATTGCTAACATTGCTTTGTAGTGGGCACCTCTATGCCGTGGCCATCTTGCTCGACCTCCATCAGCCTTTGGGTCGACGACGCGGTCAGAAGGCGAGCAAAAAGCCGGTAATCAGACTTCGGGCAACACGGATCTCGACAAGAAGATCATCGGACGTGTCGAGGAGCTTGCCAAAAAGCACGACTGGAAGATGAGCCATGTTGCGCTGGCGTGGATCAACAAGCGCGTGGCAAGCCCCATCATTGGCTTCTCTAGTGTAGAGAGGATGGACGAAGCGCTGGCCGCGCGAGGCAAGGAATTGAGCGAGGAAGAGGAGACGTATCTCGAGGAGCTGTATGAGCCTGTGCGTATCGTCGGACACTCGTAGATTGGTGGCGCGACCATGTCACATTTTTGAATGAAGCCTACGGCATAGTGTAATGACATGTTGACTGTGGACCTCTCCGTGCAGACTACTTACGGTGGCTTGCATCGAGTTAAGTGGATCAATCAGAGCACTCGGTCCGTATTAGGGCCCGGAGCTGAGAGGATGCGTGTCGATGCGAGCTTTGTCAACCCATGGCACGACCAATGACGTCGGTCGCGTGATGCATCTCACCACCGTACCTGAGCGTGCCGCGCGCATCAAACAGCCGCAACACGGCAAAACATCAGGAGACGAGGCAAGATGTGTTGATTTGCGTACTTACTCTTGAGGCTCAACTGCTTAGCTTCCGCGATCCCTCTGGCAGTGGCACGCCATGAAGGCCATGATGGCTGGGCCACGCCTGCTCACGCCAATGGTGGTGGTTCCTTCCCCGCATTCTGGGCGATGCTCGCCCTTCCCCGCATTGGTCCGACCATTCACATCTCAATCCGATTGGATTGGGGCACTGATGTGGTGATTAATCAAGTGACCGTCGCCTGTGCCTTCCTGCCGGCGACAGATTGGAAACCCCTCATAAAGCTGCGCCCTTCCCTTCGTTCTCCTCTCCTTCACTCTTCCTCTCTCACATCCCTCCAGCCCCTGACAGCCAGCCAGCCAGCCAGCCAGCCAGCCTCTATCCAGCTTCACAGAGCTCTCTTTGATCACTCCTCATCATCTACTCTTTCCATAGCTTCCGCTAGCCCCCAGCGTAACACCTGCAATACCACTACCATGGCCGCAGAGACAGAAAACATCCTCCAGAAGGTCGACTCTCTCACCGAGGAGCACAAGGATGGCGCCGCTAAGAAGGGCCACCGCAGAGTCAGCTCCATGGCCGCTGACGTCTACCGTATTGAAGACCTAGGTATGTGCTCGGCTGATAGGGCTACGATGCGGGGGTGTTGAGTGAGGGGCAAGCTGTGCTGACTTGGCCACAGAGAAGGAGGGCAAGCACATTGAGATCTCAATTGAGACACAGAAGCTCAACTGGTAAGATATTCTTCTCCTATCGCTTTCTCGGAGCTGTTCGGCACTGTTGTCGACTGGTCCGCCACGGTCCGGATGGCTTTGGTTGCCTTTCTTTGTTTGAACCCACGCTAACAGATAGCTCTCCAGGAAGCTGAACAAGTCACCCACCACGGTTGAGGACCCATCAGTGCTGAAGCTGCCACTCACCGAGCCCAAGCTCAAGTCTATTACCCTACACTTCCCGCTTGGCCTAGAGGTCGTCGCACGGAACATGAAGGGTGTCACCATCAAGGACGCATTAGATGCCATCCATAAGCAGTTCAAGAAGCGCGTAAGTACACACATTCTGTTGCTGCCATGACTATCAAGTCTGCTTTGATGATGGTGTCATCACCCATGTTTCTTTTTTTTTGAATATAGCTGACCCCTCCTTCAGGCAGACGACGAGTTCGAGAAGCCCTACCTCATGGGATTTGAGTGGGACCCATCAGAGTGCTACACGCGCTTCATCGTCCACCAGTCAGCCAACCCTACCGCGCCCAATGCCTTCGCTTCTGGTGGAAAGAAGAAGAAGGCCAAGAAGGCCGAGGGCGAGGAGGGTTCCTAAGTGAATGACTCGCCCCCTTCCCAATCTTCGACTTTTACACACAGCCTCAGTCATACTGCCATGCTCGGGCATCGGTAGGTGCGGGGTATGGACATATGCATTTGGGTGCTGGTCAATCTTGATATCGATATGGGAAGAGCGAGTGCATCTACCGCGATGCCGTAACCGCTATACTATACACCTGGGTAGCTAGGAAGTTGAGCGGGTGCGGCTGTCGTCGGGAGCAATGCGTCGTGGAACCGTTCGCAAGGTGGGTGCTCGATGGAGGGTACCACCGTATTATGTAGGCCTTCGGGCATGTGTTCGGGCTGCTGGAAAGCGCCTGAAGGAATGAGAAGAGGTTGATATGGTACTCTTGCGTGTGATTGTTGTTGTGGTGATGTTGTCGATAGCTCGTGACGCCCACTTGGCCAAGAGATCCACTGCGGGCAGGCGGTCCACGCGGTAAGCGAAGGGCACGATGCCAGCGTCGGCGGCCTGAATTGCCCTCCAAATGCCTGATTTGCCCCTCAAGCCCATCTCAGCTAGTCACATGCACAACCATTACTACGGAAACCTACAATGGTCGCTTTCTCCCACCTCGAATCAGGTAGCTCGTCGCCGCCTTGCATAGGTAGCGCCATCACAAGCCCTTGTGTTTCACTTCCTTTAGACTGTTGTCGTCCGACACCGTATTTTGCTCATCACTGACTTTGCTTTTCTTCTGCCTCTCCCCGCCCCCTTGTATTCGACGCTCAGTTTGCATAGTCGCGCCATTTTCTACATCTCGAACCACAATGTGCACCAAATAGCCATAATAGCTCCAATCTTGTCAGCCTCTACATTACTACACCTGTGCCATTTATCGCTTATACTGGACATCTTTTTTGTGGCATTGTATGCCCACATCTGTTTCTAAAACAACAACAACAATGTTTTCCAACCTTCAAATCAGGCCCGCCAAACCCGAACGTCGGAAGCCAAATTTAACCATCCGAGCGGGCGTCTCAAAGCGCCGGGTGTCATATGTTTCCGCCTTGAGCGCGAGCAGGGTGCCGTCGTTGAGCTTCATGGAGGGATTGTTTGGCGATGAATTTCCGGAAGCCTTCGGTAGCGGTGAAGGGCCATCGGCAAAGAGCAGGAAAACTATTTTGGACCTACCAGCTGAGCTGCTTGATTTGGTGTGCGCACACATCTCAAAACCGGACATCAAGCACCTGCGACTTGCTAGTAAGCAGCTAGCTAACAGCGTCTACCTGCGCATCGACCGCGTCTACGTTTCGCCAAATCGTGCCAATATTGACTATCTCTATCAGATCCTGTCTCACCCCAGGTATAAATATCGTGTCCACGAGATTATCTGGGATGATACACGCCTCGAAGAGTATTCGTCGCTAGGCAGCTTCCGCGATGCAATCCTGTTTGATGAAAGAGAGTTTACGAGATCGATTGAAAGCCGACTAGAGGAAGCTATATGGATCTACGGTGACGACAATCCTGAATACCATGCACTCGAGCACGACGATCTTTTCGAGAGCAATGGGCGACTGACTGAGGCTGCGAAAGAAATCCTCTTACGGTACGACGATCAATTCTCAAGAGAGGTCCTTGCCCGAAATGCAACCATGATGGACATTGAAGATAGCTACTCGCTGTATCAAGATCTGTATCGGGAGGAACAAGCGATAATGGACCAAGAAGCAGATATCAATGCGCTCGAGCAAGCCTTGATGGGATTCACAATGCTCAAGAGAGTCACATTCACAACCGAAATATGGCGCTCGTGTACCTTCCCTCACCCATACAACACGCCATTCCATCGGTCGCTACCCGTAGGATTTCGCAAACCACAAATTAGACATATGTGCCGTGCCCCGGTCCGCGCAAGCGAAGTCCATGACAGTCCTATGAAGACGACTGTCCGTAGCAGCCAACTATCAACGAACTCTGGTGGTTATTCCAGTTTGGTCTCTGCTATACTCAACATGCCAAATCCAGGCATTGAGGAATTCGTTGTCGAGACGGAAAACGAGGCTATGATCCCCCACAAAGACCAATTTACTCTAAATAGGAGGGATCTTGATAACACCAGAAGCATGTTTCGAAAAATCGCACTGAAATATCTCAAGTTTCCTCTTACTTCTGAAGAGGACACACGAGCCGATTCAACTCCTCACAATATTTACAGCCCCCAGAATTTCCTCGCAGAGCTTCGACATCTGGAGCATCTCGACTTGAACTTGAGCTGCAATACAATAGCACCCATGTTCGGCCGTGTACCGCGCTTCATTCCCATTCCTGAGAACTTGAGACGGCAGCTCAAGACCTTGACCCTACGGCACGTAGCCGCGGAAGACGACGATCTATTTGGCCTCTTCACCTCAATGCCAAACTTGCAGCACGTCACACTGTACCGTCTATATCAAGGGAACGAACAATCTAGTTGGGCGCTGCTCTTCCAGCATCTAAAGACATGTTACAGCACCGCAGTTCACGCCAGTAAACCCCGTTTCGTCATTTCTCAGTCACTCGACCCGGACACGACCAACTTGCAAGTTGTGGACCAAGAAGTAGATGATTACCTATATGGCAATGGCGAGCATCCTTTTATGGAAGCTGGGGTACAGACGCTTGCGAGGCTAAAGCAGCATATGGGGTGGAGAGTCGATCCGAGAGATGACACTGTGAGGGAGAGAATGAGTGATTTTTGTGCAAGGACGGAGATGCAGGAGTGGGATTGTAGCACGTAGATGGGCGTCATGGATCCTTGGGAATGGACGGAGTTAAAGATTGCAGCTACCATACTCGGACGATTTCCTCGATCTCGACAATGAAATACGCACTAGGAGATATGGAGGTTTTATCACCTTGGTCTTTCGCTTATGCGTCAAGAAGTACCAAACAGAGAGGATGGAGTACTTTGATTGGGAAAAAGAGAGACGGGTCTTAGGACTACAAGAACATGTCTATGCGCACTGAACGATAGTTATGGCCGTGTGTCAGGAGTACTGGGCTGTACCCATGCAATTTCAACTGAGTGGAAAATAAACACCAAGATGTCTGGAAGGATTGGGAAGGAGATATCGTGAGCAAAGAGTATGAAGAGCATGGCCGAACGGGGGTTCGAGATGGAGTGGAGATTGATTTTCTCAAATAATGATTACGAGCGATATTGGGCAGGCGTTTCGGTCGGGACTCGCATCAGATACGTCACTACCTCGTTCGCTATCTTCCAACGAACATTGAAGAAAGCCAAAGCCATTTTGCATGCAGATAGGTAGCTTATATTTTATCAAATCCTTTATCCCAAACAAACCACAAAAAAAAGTTTCATCAAAAACACTTCCACGATGCGCTCTTCCTCTTCTTCTCCCCCCCCC